ATAGTCTAGTAGATGACGACACCTTTTGAGGACCAACTTTGGTAAATCCACGTACAACAGTGCCAGTGGAGCTGTAACAGTTTGTACCAGCTGAGGAACCTGGCTGTGTCTTTTTTAAGTGCTGTCAGTTGTGACATTTTCCATGACACGGGGATTGAAAGGTCTAGGCACTGCTCAAATATGAGTCAAATTTTCAAAGGCATGTACAGTTTTCAGTAAGAGTTACACTTCCATGTGCCTGAGTCACTTATAAAATTTGGACTTAGGTTTAGATGCTTTTAAAATTTCTCTCTTATCCCTTTTGCTTACAGCCTGAAAGTGTAGTGTGGTAGTATCATCAAAACAGATGTGCTGTAAAACATGCTTTGCCTGTATTTTCTGAAGTGTTTTTAACAAAAATGTCTCAGTTGTTATTTTGTGCTGAAGTGGATTGTATTGTAGCTGTCATGTTCATTGATGCTGGTTAAAACTACCCACTTGAAATGAAGTGAAGTGATCCACTGTAAGAAGTGGTGCTGTGGGCATTTGTTTATTTTGCCACCATACTGAATTCCATAATTCATGAGTACAGACCCCTTTTTATACTGTGATAGAATAAGAACCTTTTTTTTTTCATTTGTAGGACTCCAGTTTTCCAAGCCATAAAACAGCAACAAAATATACATAGATCTACCAAGCCAAATGTGAAAGCATTGAGCCAATTAATATAACTAAACTGAACAATCTCCTAATACATAACCCCAAAAGATTACTTATTTTCCCATCTTGTTTAAAGGACCCTCATAACCAATATTTTTGAAGATGAAAATGAGGTGAACAGATTTAAATGCATTGGGTTTCATGTTTACTGCCCTTTGAACAGGGAAGATGTAATTTCATAGCAATTAAAACTATTCTCTTGTTGTGTAGCTGAGCCTTTTTTCAAGGGAAATAAGTTCAATCAGGATTTATCTATTAGCTATTTAAATCCAAGAATATTAGAAAGGTGGTAGTAGTTTGTAAATAGTACCAGCAGTCACCTTCTCTATCATTCATCTAGCTGTCTGTCATCTTTGTCTCATGGTATTTTGGTGTACGGATTTTTCCATAGCAATGAAAAAGATCCTTATAGCCAAGGGCAACACACAGAACAACGAGCACAGAAAATCTGTACAATCTTTGGAGTTTTCCACTTTCCATTAATAATAAAATATTAAAGATGTGAGTGAGCATTTGTTGATTTTACCATTGGAACTGTTACAATGGAATCAAACTCTCAGGTTGTGCTTCAGTACAGAAACAAAAGGGCAGTGGCACGTAAGGAACAGAGCAATATCCCACAGGAAACATACTTCACAGAAATAGTGCAGATCACGAAATTTGATTCTTCTTCTATGTATTTGATTACAAGGCAGGAGCACGTGTGAAAAGTGAAGTGATTGCAAGGGTTGCTCTCTCAAAATTAGTGGCAACACCATTGTAGCACATTTTTATTATCTGTATCTGTTTGCTAACAAACAATTCCAGGTTCAGTTTCCTAAGTCCCCACAACCTGGGCTGTCATTCTTCTCCCATTCAAGTGTACATCAGGGTAAATTTATTGGCATAACTTTCCAAAAGCACTTGCAGCTACAATATGACCTGGGCCCACTTTGCCCAGTCATGAGGTCAGGTGATTACTGGGGCTAGGGATAGACATTACATATAAACCAGTTTAAGTGATCGGAAACTGGTTTAATCCTGTAACAGATCAGACATTCAGGGCACATAAATGAATTTCAAAATGGCTGAAACCAGTTTGAGATAAACCTGGTTGAATGTAGTATCAGACTTAACTGATTTGGCTCAAACTAGTTAATGTAATGTCTCACCCAGACCCCTTCCTGGTTTAAGTTAAACCAGAGTCCCCCAGCATCCCAGATGCTCTGCAGCCCTGGGCAGGGCTCTCTGCTCCAGAGAGCTGGGCTGGCCCTCTGCTCTGGTCCCTGGCTGGAGCTCTGGCAGAGACGGCAGGCACAGCTGACTCTGCCTGGCTTCCCCTTGCCCATTCCCCGCCTCACCACTCGCTGCTCAAGCAGGGATCCCTCCCTCCTCTCTACCACAGCATGGGTCGTAGACAGTATGCTGTATGCTAGCTAATGCTGAGAGGTGTCTGTGTAAGGTAGACAGGACTAAGGCAGACAGAAAGGTGTCATCTTAGGGCTTTTTGGAGCTAATCAACAGGTCAGCTGGTAACGTCCCTCCCTTCCTTGGAAAAAGTTGTTTAAGAAGAGCTTGAACTAATAAAAGAGGCTTTTGTTTTGCTGATGGGCTGATAAATGCTGTGTAACTACCCCCTGTGTAACTAAATGCTGGATAAATCCTTGCTGGCTCCCTTGCTGGCCACAAGCAGCAAGGGGGCAGGAGGAACCCTCCCTAATCAGAGCATCTTGCCAGGCCTGGCCATGCTCTCCCTCAGCTCAGAATTGTGGAAGTGAAGGGAGGGCTGCTCTAGCACGCCTTGGTTTCTAGCCTGAGCCATTGCAGGCTTGTGCCTGCATTTCCTCAGTCCAGAGGGGCTGTCTTTTTGGTTACAAACTGGTTCAGCCTAGCCAGGTTAGACTAACCTGTAAAGATTGAATCAATTCAGGTTCAGGGTTTTGGAATGTCTGTCCCGAGCCTGGGAGCCTTCTGGCTGCTTTGTGGGGCAACCAGGCAGCACAGGATTTCAAGTTTACGTCACCTTTGTGCATGTGCATTCTTTGAGCATCATAGAGCATCATAGAGCATTCTTCATCAGGATTTGGTTATGTGTGTTTCGTTGCCTCATATTTTGTTCACATTATATTTTTCTTTTGTCTTGTTCCTATTGGGACCCATGCTAAAAAGATTATATTAACACATAACTTCCTTCAAACAGTACTGATGCTTTTCTTCCTCTTTTGTGGTGACACAATTGGACCAAAAGGCAATAGAGCTGTGAAGAAATGCTGAACTGTAAAAAGTTCTGTGGCCTAACAATCCTTTTTAAAAAAATATTATCTCAGTTTTGCCTCCCTGCTTTATCATGGAATCCCTCATTCCTCTCTTTCTATGTTACTCCATAAAAGTGTCTGGACACTTCAACTCATCAATAATACTTACTTTGCTAGTTTGTCTGGGAAGTTTATTTCACATATTTATTGCTGTTCTAGTGCATCAGTTTTAATTGTAGTAATTTCAATTTCTTAATTTATGGATCATATTTCCTATGCTGTTTTCTCTTTAATCTTGTAACAGTATTTATAGTTTATTTCTTTCAGCTTTATTTAACTCTCAGAAATTTGAATTAATCTCCTAAATCATCACAGTCTTCTGTTCTTCTGGGAAAATAAGACTGACCAGAAGAGATTCTTAAAAATCTCAAGTTGTCTTAGTTTAGTTACCTTATATTTTTCACCAGTATCCCCAATAGCGGAGGGAAAGTAAACAAAACTGATCAAAGAGAAAATAGGCACAACTCCATTGCCTTGTGTAGAACTTTGCTACGGTGCATCAGCTGAGGATCTGGCTCAGAAATTTTAGATGCAGAAAAATGGAGAGACTTACACACCACTTCTCTTGATATGTATTTGATCCCTGTGTTGATTTATTCTAATTTCCTCCTGTTTTTTATGTCCTGGCATGAAGTATGCACAGATTTTTCTACAGTAGGTCCCCAAGTCCCTTCCTAGATCTTTAGTGTCCATGGCTGTTTTATTTAATCTGTGCTCTCTCTTCTTTTTATAATTAATATTTTATTAGATTTCTTTATAACAAAGTGCACACTGTACATATAAAACAAGCAATATAACTTCAGTAATAAACATGTCAGAACCAGCAGGCCCTGGAAATAACTATCTTTCCAACCAGATGAAGTCCAGCTCCCTTCTTTCCTAGGGGTTAGTGTTACTAATAAACAACAAGACAATAAAAACATCAGTTTTACTCTTCTACCTAGGATCAGCTGCTCAGAGAGCTCCTCACTTAGGACTTTTTGGTTCTAAAACTTAGTGCCTTCCTCCCACTGTTTATGAAGAATTGTAGTGCAAAAAATAAAAGCCATTTTATCCATGGTAATGATCCTGTCATAGGCTAAGTCCAGTCCTGTTAAATCAAATCCTTAAATGAGGACATTATAGTCCCATATTCTGGACTTGGATTGCCTTGCCAACATTTTACATAAACTTTCAAAAGCAAACACTATATGTAATATACTTCTTTTGTCATCCTTTCTCCATTTTCTTTTCCAACCTCTAAAGTCCCACTTAAATTTTCAGTGGAAAAACAGGATAGTTTTTCAAAAAGAATAGTTTTCACAACATAACATTCTTTTGACTCTTTGGACCACAGAGTAATTACAAAGGTTTGAGAGATCAGTTCTCTGCTTTGAATCCAGAGCTGCAGGAGCCAGGCTCAGTGATGCAGACCTGTTTCTGTGTGCTCAGTGAAGTGTGTCTGAGGGTCCTGAGATATGATTGTTCTGTTCCATACTCTGCTGTACATCTCAGTTAACTGATATTGATTTGGTATTTACATTGCATCTTTAATAGCTCTACTTTTGAGACTTATTTTTTCATTGCCTTCTGTCACATGCAAGACTCTAAATTGTCTTGGGTTGTTATTCCCCGTTCCTCCCTTTCCTCCTGTGGTGCAGGTGGGTATTTTCCTCAGATTATAGAGTCAAAATTTATGGTAGTCCCCAAATTGACCCCACTTCCTGCAAGAAAATGTACCATTTACAGCAACTTGTTGTTTTTAAGCCCCGCCCCTCATAGATGGAACAATATATCAGCAAGTAACATGTTTTTTAACAGGTTTCCTAATTCATGGTTACCAAACAAATATAGGTTTTCTTAAAGTAGCCCTTAAAATATTACATTTCTTCCTGTATATGAAAGGATTTAAAGGTGAACATAGGATCAAGGCAATAGTTCAGTTGTAGTCCACATATTTAGCTTGCTCTTACAGAAATACCTTCTCCGTACCTTCTCCATGAATCTTGTTTGTGCTTTCTCTTGCAGAATGTTTATTATACAAGTAATCAGCAGATCCATGTGGGTGTTCTGAGTCCCACTATTGATGATGATGACAACAGATGCCTGGTGGATGTGAACAGCAGGCCCAGACTCATTGAATGCAATTATGCCAAAGCCAAGAGAATGAAGCTTTATTGGCAATTTACTCAGGTAATTCTTCCCCAGAAGATGCTTCAAGAAGTTCATATGGGATCAGCTTTAAATAAATCTTTTTTTTTATCAGCAGAATTGAAATAGATGCAACTTTCTTTTTTTATATAAGAAAGCCAGCAAACCATGTTTTCTATCTGATCTTAAGAGCAGGTATCACAGTCCTAATAGCAGGTATCACCGTTATAATAGCAGGTCTAAGTCTCCTGAATTTTGTCAAAGTTTTATTACAAATAATTTACTGTGTTAGCCAGCACACTAAAGCACTGCTTACTGTTAAGGCAAAGTTACACTTAGACTGTACTAGGGGAACTTAAAGTGAGAGCGTCCGCATGTTAAAGCTTGTTAACTTGTGCTAAGTGCCCTTTAAGCATCTCAAAGTTACATCACTTCAGACAAGAGTTAACTCTGGTCCATGCTGCTAATTAGGGTAGCTTCAGTCTACTCCATAGAGATAAAACAAGCAATTTGCAATTCTTCCAGCATCACAGAATGCAACCCTCACCACTCAGAACAGGGATAGAGCACAGGTGTCCTGGCTTCTAGCCACACTCCTGCTCACTAGACCTCTAGTAGCAAAGTGAGAGCTGTGCAAGAAACAATATTACCCTTAACATGCGAGTGCTCACAGCATGGTGTAACTTCAACACTGCTTAACATTGCATAGGTTTTGCATGGTTAAAGTGTATTGTGTAACTTCACCCTTACAGAAGAATCTGAATTGCCTGGTTGAATGGTCACAATCCAACAAAATCCATTTTAATACAGTCAAATGTAAGGTAATAATTCTTTGAACAAAGGAGGTAGGTTTTACTTACTGGTTGGGATTCTCTTTTGGGAAGTAGTGACTCAGAGCACGGATGCACAAGCTTGTTACCATAGAGTAAACAAGGGTAGGGATTTATAGCTGGATGATCATAGTGGTTCCTTTTTACTTTACCGATCCACCCACTTTACCAGAAAAAAGTAAAATTGGGTGTCTCTTTCGCTATGCTGTTG